TAGCAATGACTGTAGGTGTAGGTGTAGGTGTGGATGCTTTGGAGCAGCGGCCTTACAAGGACGTCTGGACGTTCTAGCTTTCCCTGAGAGCTGTTGCACACCTCGGCTGAGACTAAACGTGTTAACGGATCTTTCACAACTCCTCTGTTTCTGCGAGACGATACTCGAATTACTTCTCGCCGCGGCTGGCCGCCACGACGATTGAACCCGCCGAATGAATGAAACAAATTTCGGGCCGCGGCGACATAGTAAACCAATCCAAGAATGTTGCACGTGTAAGGACGAGTCTCGCGGTGTTCTCCGAGACTCTAATTCTAGACTGCGGTGAGAATAGGTTCTTCTCTGAGAGTCTCGCGATTTATCCATGTCCGAGTTGGGTAACGATCGATTAGTTTGCGATTTCTTTTGTAACTGATTCTGTCAAGTGATCATAGCAATCGTAATTATTCGTAATCGTAATTAATCGTCATCAGAATGAAGCATGATTACATTTGGTAACCTGTAATCGTTAATCAGTAATCTGTAATCGCGGACGAATGATCGATTTATATTAATATAAGTTAATTAGTATGGACGAATGATTTTTATCATAATAGCAAATTTTTCAGTTGATCGAAATCGAAAGAAGTAATCACATTGTATGATTAATGATTACTCTGTTGATCAGGAGCGACGATTACATTTGTTTTCGTTACGTAAGGTATTCGTTAATCATGATTAGACTGCGGATTTTATGCATTTATGACTAAAATGGGCAATTAAAATTGAAAACGATGAAAATATTAAAGAAAAACTTAAGAACATCTGCGTATTATTTTCAACTCGCTTAAATTATTAAAGAAAGAAAGAAATTCCTAACTTGTTGCAATTATTGTAGATAGTTTTTATTTTGCATAAAGATCCACAGTCTAATCATGATCATTTGATTACTTAGTAATTGTAATCATTAAACAAGAACATGATTTCACGTTAGTCGTAATTGTTAATCATTAATCGGATTACTTTTTGTCCAAGCATAGCGAACAATTTGCCGAAAAAAGTGGACGAAATTCATAACTTTGTTAAGCTTGTGTTATGTATTATAAACAAATGATTTTTACGAGTTTTACAATTAGCAAAATCTAATTGCTTACCAGTGTAAAAAATTATCCTCGCAGGAGGCGTTTAACGCGAGAAGGCTAAAACTGTGACAAAGAATGTGATTTTAGGAAAATAATGGCCTCATTCTTGCAATTAGTTAGTTAAAGACTACCATTAAAGAGAACCACTGAATCTACCTTGCACTAAAAGCGACTGGAATACTTTGCCTTGTAGATGTAACAAGGCTGAATATATTTACATTTCGCGCGAGCTTTATCGCGAAACAATGAAATTTATTTATTCGTTTCTCGTGGAAGCATCTCCACAATTTCAACGACTGTAGTTCAGTATAGTTCGGTGTTGATAAAAATATTATTAATCATTAACGATGTCAGGATATCACAAGTGACTTTCTCCCATCTCAAAGAAAAAAAACAACGAAAAAATGATAAAACAGTGAATAGTACAGTAAAAATGGAAAATAATGGCGCTTCTGAGAATCAAATAAATGAGCTACCGACTGACTATAGTTCACCTTATTCACAAATTCTGGCACGGTACACATTATAATTCGTCGGTCGAACGGTCGCCAGTGACATGACAGGAATATTTCGTTATGCCACTGTCCCAAAACTTTCAAAAGTGCATAAAGATGTAGTTGTCGTATTTCACCGTGCCTACACACGAAGATGGCACACTTTAGAAAACAATAAATCGTTGCCAAAGATAATGATGACTGTTAACAAACGCGAAGGAGGAGTCCAAAACTATGAAGCATTAAATATTAATTATATTATTATAATATTAATTATATTATTATAATATTAATTATATTATTATAATATTAATTATATTATTATAATATTAATTATATTATTATTATNACGCGAAGGAGGAGTCCAAAACTATGAAGCATATAATATTAATTATATTATTATAATATTAATTATATTATTATAATATTAATTATATTATTATTATTATTAATTATAATTTAGTTAAATATGCTATCATTTTGTCCCACTGTATTTCCATAAAATTCTGTTTTTCAAATAAAATTGTTTAGACTGGCGATAATTCAATTCCATTTCGCTTATATACGTTTACAGTGGCATTTTGAAAATTTGTGTAGAAACAAAAGCTTGGTCGTAATATTAAGTGAATAAAAATTACGTTAATTTCAACATGGCATTCTTGCCTGTAATGTGCATAAGCATGTATCAAAGCTACATATCCATATTTTGTTTATACACAAATAATTGTTCTCTTTGTCGAACTAACACCATACAACGCTTATGATCTTTCTCGTACCACTTTCATAACTAACAGATAATTGTAAATAAAAGTCCTATCATATTATTACGTTGTACATAATGCGTTGCACAAATGTTGGATTCGTAGAAAAATGTACAGTCCAGTAATAATAATAATAATAATAATAATAATAATAATAATAATAATAATCTCGTCCTCGTCGATATCTCGGACTAGGTGTGATCAATATATTAGTATCTACAATTACAAATCATAAGATGTAAAACTGTATGTTTCACGAGGGGAACCTCGCTTTTTAGCCGGCAGGCAAAAATTAATAAAACACACGGTAGGAAATGTGTGCCGATTTCGCACGTCGATACATAGCGACGATTACGTAACACGGAAAGGAACAAACGGAAAAAGTGAAAGGAAATTTTGATTAATGACAGTTCAGCGGGAAGAGATGTAAAAATAGAAATATATGAATAGTTATAAGAGAATGGAAAACATTTGCTTGTTACTGTAAAATTGCAACCGGCGATCGATTCTGCTGAACCTTCCCAACGCTGTGTCGCATGTCGATGAGAAGTAAATAAAAAATGTTAAGGAAGCCTTAAGGTACACCACGTTGACAAATATTTGTAATGCTAATCGAATTACGACATTGGCGACTGAGAGAGGAGAGATAAGCGCGCAATTGATACTTATACAGTCTTCGTCGTTGATAGTACGGTAATTTATATGTGCCTATGATAATGAGAATTGCGGCGACGGTACATCGCGAGGGCAAATAAAACGCCTTGTCCACGTGTTATTGATGATAATCAAAATTATAATTTACTTGCACGAAGCTCGGTAGTTCATGGCAGAGATGGTAATTATCGTGATATGTCGAACCACGGCGTCTCCAGGCGTTCGTTTCAAGCAACGTTTCGTAAAAAAGCTAACTAACATATCAGTTTACTATACCGCAGCAATTATGGTTTTCTGTGCCTCGAAACGAGTAAATATATCCGGCAAATTTATCTTCGGTTAGAGTGGCGTGATCTCAGCAAAATTACTTTTAAATCCCCATTTTCTCGCGTAATTGTCGAATCCTCCGCCGAATGCTCGCTAGCGCCGCGTCGGTAAACACACGTGGCTTTGTGTGGCGATAAGATTTATCTTTATCTCGAACAATGAATACTAACTAGACTGCGAATCTTCATGCAGTTATTCATCGTGCAAGTCACCAGAAACCAGCGGACTGCAGAAACGTGTGCATAGGATAGTGTAGAAAATAAACTCCCCGATTCAGTGTGTTTATAACGAATTTTAATTTTATGACGAACGCGAGATTCTTTCTGCTCTTTTCAAACAATGCCATTGAAATTCTTCTCGACACTTCGTCTGGAAATTCGACGGAAAATTTCAGTGATATAACGCGGTAATATATGCACACGTGCGCGGTCTCTTTACATTATGCTTTTTAATGAAACTCGTGCCATCAGAGATCCAATATATTTCCGAAAAGTAAAAGAATTTTTCAAGTTAAAGAACAATAGATGTGGCTCAAGTCGTCCATTTATTCGCGCGAAAGGCCTTCTTCAAAGTTCGCCTTCGTCGAAAAACCGCGGCAATACAGTAATGTCTCCCTAACTGACGCCAAGATTGTGCACAAAAATGGGAAATTTGGGAAGAGGAGATACGATTATCCGAATCTTGCGTCTCGTTTTTATAGTTACAAATTGTCAACAACTATAAAAAGTTGACGAATAAATGTAGATACAGTAATGTCTCTCTAATTGACGCTCAGGTTGTCCACAAAGTGGACACAAAGTGGACAATTTGGGAAGAGGAGATACGATTATTCGAGTCTTGCATCTCGTTTCTATAGTTACGAATTGTCAACAACTATAAAAAGTTGACGAATAAATGTTGATACAGTAATGTCTCTCTAATTGACGCTCAGGTTGTCCACAAAGTGGACACAAAGTGGACAATTTGGGAAGAGGAGATATGATTATTCGAACCTTTCGTCTCGTTTTTATATTTACGAATTGTCAACAACTATAAAAAGTTGACGAATGAATGTCGATACAGTAATGTCTCTCTAATTGACGCTCAGGTTGTCCACAAAGTGGACCCAAAGTGGACAATTTGAGAAGAGGAGATATGATTATTCGAGTCTTGCGTCTCGTTTTTATAGTTACGAATTGTCAACAACTATAAAAAGTTGACGAATAAATGTTGATACAGTAATGTCTCTCTAATTGACGCTCAGGTTGTCCACAAAGTGGACACAAAGTGGACAATTTGGGAAGAGGAGATATGATTATTCGAACCTTTCGTCTCGTTTTTATAGTTACGAATTGTCAACAACTATAAACAGTTGACGAATAAATGTAGGTACAGTAATGTCTCTCTAATTGACGCTCAGTTTGTCCACAAAGTGGACAATTTAGGAAGAGGAGATACGATTATCCGAGTCTTGCGTCTCGTTTTTATAATTACAAATTGTCAACAACTATAAAAAGTTGACGAATGAATGTCGATACAGTAATGTCTCTCTAATTGACCACAACAAAGTGTCCACTTTGTGTCCACTTTGTGGACAATCTGAGCGTCAATTAGAGAGACATTACTATACCTACATTAATCCTAGCATACGAGGCTGCACCTACCTTCATTCGAGAAGCTAATCTCGTCGAAAATAATCCTGTTGTTGGCAGTGACGATGGTGGCAGTGGTATTGGACGTAGCATCGTTAACAGCAGTCGTAGTCTCGTCGACGAACCCCTTCTCGGAAGCACCGCCGAAAGGCTGCACCTCGGAGTCCGGACTTCCGTCAGTCTGTTTGGCCCCATGAACCGTTTGGACGTTATTTGGCGCGCGCACACCGGCCCATAAAATCACCAGGAATATCACCAGAAGCACGATGCTGACCGCCGCGGCGACCGTGGAGGCGCAATTCGATATTCGCGACATGTCTGCGTCTCCCCTGACCGCCGGATGCATCCGCTCACTCGCGATTACAATGTCCTCGGGCTGATCCAAGAGGATCCACGTCGGAGGAACGACGTTTCGAAGACTGGTCGATCAGTTAGTGGCTAGCCATCGGGGCAGCCAGAGTCGATCATGCCCGCGCAACGAGACCGGACGGAGGGTGGGTCTCCCTATTATCGCGCACCAGGACGTTCGCCGGTCTGCTCCACCCTCGCAGCGACCCTCATAGGGTCCTCTTCGAGCCGCGATAACAAGGCTGCCGCAGCTCCTCGCGAATCCCGGTGCTTGTCTCGCGGTGAACCGACCGACGATATCCAGCCGGGATCCGCGGAATGCCCATTAAAAGGATCTTCGTTTTTCGATTGGTCGCGCGCCGAGATATCTATCCGGATGTCGTTCTCCCGACGATGATTTCGACCGTTCAACCTGCGATCGTCCTTGGCCCGGACATGGGGTGCGTTGACCGGCTCCGTCCCCTCAGAAAACTGCCATTGCGGTCGTCGGTAAATTTTAGGAACGGCGGAGGCCGATGGTCCCTACGGTCGCGATCCGACCAGAGTTCATTCCTCGAACTCGTTTAGGCGCCGTGGGTTTCGGGTGTTCCTGGAAAGGGAGAGACACAGCGTTAACAGTAGATCGAAATTGATCGGCGCGGTGGCCGCGAGGGCGTTAGCGTTTCGGTTTCTTGTACGGCGGGACATCGTCTAGAACGCGCGGAGTCCGATGGACACCGCGATCGATTCGTGGGCGACGCGAGCGTTCGACTGGTAACGTGATCTGTGCGAATTGCTTTCGTAAATCGATGAGAATATTTTTGACTTGCCGCACAGTTTTGTTTCATTTTAATGTGATGGTGAGAAATACACAGGATTTTGGCAGAAATTTCTTTCTTACTACGATAACTTTAATAAGCGAAAAATAATATGTTGAAATATATTGAATGATATATATTGAATATAACGTAATTAAATATATATTTAATATATTGAATATATATGATATAGTGAAATATATATTTAATATATTGAATGAAATATATTGAATAAAATATATTGAATATAACGTAATTAAATATATATTTAATATATTGAATATATATGATATAGTGAAATATATATTTAATATATTGAATGAAATATATTGAATAAAATATATTGAATATAACGTAATTAAATATATATTTAATATATTGAATATATGATATAGTGAAATACATATTTACTATATTGAATGAAATATATTGAATATAATATAATGAAATATATATATATTTAATATATTGAATGAAATTGCTTTTATTTTCTAAATTTCCGTCAGTTTTACACATTTTAAAACTTTACATTTACAATTTAATAATTGAATACCAATAATGTAAAAAGTACCGTTTCGATTCGACTGAGGAAAATAAATAATATTTCTATTTATGAAATTCTATTTCAAATCTGCGTTACGCATCTCTGTCGATAAGACGTGAGAGAATAGGTAGGAGAAAATCTTTGGTTTAGGAACCGATGCCAACTGGCAATGAGAACGTAAACAGTAGCATGCAATTTTAACACTGACGCCAATTGTGCGAGTTGCGGCCCGGGTACTATGATCGAATTTTCATAATACGATCTATAATTGATTTCGTTAAATTTTGATCTACGTATGTAAGATGACATTTGTTCGCGTTGCTCGAAGGTTCTCGGTCGCTGATATTCATCTTGTTTTACTCGTTTGAACAAAGTGACATGGTGATGGCCAGTGACCATCATTTGGCATTGCTAACAAGCGGCGAGAGAAAACAAGCGTTCGTCATTGGTGAGAGACGTGACAGTTAATCAAATGTCGTTTTAAGGAAAATGTCTAATGCCTCTGTTTCTTGTAAGCCAGCGTTTATCTCGATATTTTATTATTTTTCTCGTTTTTATAATTATAACTTATATTACTACTACTACTACTACTACTACTACTACTACTACTATACTTTGTACAACTACTAATGTATTTTCAATGTGTACATGCATTGTAATGCAATTAATAATGCATAATAAATGCAATTATCCACGTAACTGTTCATTATTAAGAATATACTTGCAACACAATTCGTTTTGCTTCAACAATGCAGAAATGTACTTCAGATCATTTGATTCTTGAAGTATTAATGCATGGTCGAAGAACGAATAATAATAATAATAATAATAATAATATATAATAAATATATAATAATAATATATTTATATATTTATATTATTTATATATATATTATTATTTATATATATTTATATTATATTTATATATATATTTAAATATATAATAATAATATATAATTAATAATAATGTAATAATAATAATAATAAACACTTGTTCGGCCACGCTTCGAGAAACGATCACATATAAAATATAAAAGCACACAGAAATATAAATTCAATTAATGTAACGTTCTTTTCTGTCTCTAGAGTGCAAAACAGTGGCCATCTCGCATAATTTAACTGTCGATGTACGCGATGCCCGACAGCGAACGTGTTAAGTTCGCAGTTGATACGCGCGGCCGCTAAAAAGGCAATAATCTCTTAACTAAAAATAATTTAAGCCTGCCGAAAAGGTAATTCAGTATTCGCTTTAACGTTCGCGCGTTCGCATCATGGGAAACGCGCGCGAACAACCGGACAAGAGTTTTAATCAAATTTAATATTAAACCGATGAAAGGAATATAAAGGCTGCGATTCCAATCGGATTAAAGTTAAATAAATTCTCCTACACACGCGTGTCGGTGTAATTTTGCCTCGCGGTTCTAAATATCAAACCAGTTTCTCGGAGGCTCTAAATAAGCTGAATGAAGAATCAATTAAAAAATCACTAACCCTCGTGAACAGGAAACAGGTTTCGCCTTCATCAAGATAACGCCAGGTAATATTCCGGCAAAACAACGCTGACAAGAATTGGGGAATTAAATTGGAAGGTTATAGCTCGAGATATTGGCTACACCATGACCCTGTTCCTCCGGCGGACCTACCAGCTGTTTAAAGGGAAGAATGTCGTTGCGTACGCTTCGTTTAAAACATGCAAACGAATCACCGACGATCAAGCTGCGCAAACATTCAACATTTCCCTACGATTTTCTTCGTTTATTGAACGATTCATATCGAGCTATTTATAATAGCTATTAGTTAGCTATATAGCTATATATTATATAGCTATTAGTTAGCTATATAGCTATATATTATATAGCTATTAGTTAGCTATATAGCTATATATTATATAGCTATTAGTTAGCTATATAGCTATATAGCTATATATTATATAGCTATTAATTAGCTATATATTATATAGCTATTAATTAGCTATATAGCTATATATTACATAGCAATTAGTTAGCTATATGTATAGCTATAAGTTAGCTATATGTATAGCTATATATTATATAGGTATTAGTTAGCTATATAGCTATATATTATATGGCTATTAGTTAGCTATATAGCTCTATATTATATAGCTATTAGTTAGCTATATAGCTATATATTATATAGCTATTAGTTAGCTATATAGCAATATATTATATAGCTATTAGTTAGCTATATAGCTATATAGCTATATATTATATAGCTATTAATTAGCTATATATTATATAGCTATTAATTAGCTATATAGCTATATATTACATAGCAATTAGTTAGCTATATGTATAGCTATAAGTTAGCTATATGTATAGCTATATATTATATAGGTATTAGTTAGCTATATAGCTATATATTATATGGCTATTAGTTAGCTATATAGCTCTATATTATATAGCTATTAGTTAAAGTTATTTCGTGATTCGAAGTATCTTTTTCTTTTCGCCGCAATAAATAAACGAGAACATTGCTATTGTGAAAACATTTTTAAATGCAAACATTGGGTGCTTTCTTGCTGTAAAAAAGGTCTTTTGTTTCGAGTTCGAATTAATCGAAAAGCTCTTCTCGCGTTTATGTCCCGAATGAAAGGAAGAATTTATCGATTGTACACTTGTTTGACGCTTCATTTAAATGTCCGGGGCTATCCTGTTTTCCCTATATGTGTTTTCGAGCATTCGAAACATTCCTTGGCCACCTTTAACTCAATTACACGAGACGCGAGTCAATTATTTGCGAATTAACTCGGCTGCACGCTTCAATGAAGCTCCTCTTCGAGGAGTCGATTAATCCTGCATTTTCTCTCACCCTCTCTCTCTCTCTCTCTCTCTCTCTCTCTCTCTTTCTCTCTCTCTCTCTCTCTCACTCTCCGCCATCCTGGAAGATATGATCGGAAGTTTCTTTACGCGGTGGTCTCCTCCGTGTCGCGCGATAAGGGAACGACCCGCCGCGTCGTAAATGTTTAAAGCGGCACGAATCAGTTTCACGGCGATTCGCACGGCTAAATTGCCCGACACGAAGAAATCATCTCCAGCCGATGACCTCATCGAGGGTAGCTCTCCCTTCGGGACTGGTAGACAAACGCTTTTCTTTCATCGTCGGGCACCCATCTTTCAAAACAAACAACGAACGAACGGTGCTTTCACAAGAAGAATGTAAAGAAACGTAGAAAACAATTAGAACGATCGTTCGACTAAAGCTGAGATAATTCAGTTTCGCGAGAAAGCGACACGTCGTTAGTACAATGGAGTCAGAATGAATGCGTAGGAGATGCAGAGAGGACTATTAAAAAGTGACGACTGGCTTAAATGCTTCAAATATGAGAATTTTTGTGATTTATGTCGAAATCCGAAGAAAAAATAACGTAAGAATTACTTTGTTTATAATACTGTTTATAAGCTACAGTCAAGATTATACTTCGAGGTACAGAATTTAGGTTTTTTGCTTGAAAATGGTAGTATAGATTTTAATGCCACGCAAATATTGTTTATATATATAAACAATATTTTGCGTTACATTAAAATCTATATAATATCTTTAGTAATTTAAAATCTAAATATATATATACTACAGTATATACTACAGTATATATATTTATATTATATATTTATTATTATACATATATAGATTTAGATTTTAAATTTAAAAAAATATATTATATGGATTTTAATG